GCTACAATTGACGATTTTTTAAAAATGCATTTCCAAAAGTAAATTTTTGTATTGTATGTATTCTCTAAATTAAAAGAAAAAACTGTATGCAATTATAAACTAGATTAATGCAATGTCAGTCGCTTTGGATAAAAACATCTCCAAAATGCAAAAATGTAAATGTATTGCAAACATTTAGCAATAGACAGCCAACCTAAAGCTGAAATGATTAAAACAAAAATGTTTAAATGGAGACTGTACGTTCAGCAGTTAATTGCAGAAAAGAATAAAAACAATGATGAATACAGGTTAATATAAATATAGTGCTTCCTTCAAAGAGCTGTTTAAATAGTAAATTAGTAATGCATGTCAGTACTGATGAGACATTTGAGCGTTCAGATTGTTCAGTACCTGTATGAGCCAACCAGCACTTTTTTGCAGTCCACAATGATGAATTTCTCTTTCATCTGTCGAGTGAATTTTCTGCCCGACTTGGCACAGTATATTTGACCTTGAACGCTACGAATGGACATTCTCTGTATGAAGAGATAAAGAAGTAAAACATAAGCTCATTGTCAATAAATATAAAGAATTCATCCACATCTTTTTCGTTTCATGATATAACCGAACTAACAGAAATATGTCATGATGAAAAAAACGTGTTACATGTATTAAACCAAGCTAGAGTTTTAACAGTGCCTATTAAATATAAATATCAGGCCTCTAATCCCTAAACTTCTTATGCCAGCAGCAACACATTTCATGTATTGTCAGTGAAGTCGGTTAAAAGAACAGAATAACTTACAGTAAGATGAGACTTGTTGATTTTTACATTTTCACACATGTCCTGGAACAGCTGTAAATTGGCGTGGTCCAGAAGGAGATGGACAGACACATTGCGCTTTGTCACCTCCAGTATGTCACAGAAAATCTCCACATCGCTGAATGTGTCCATAACTATCGCCAAAACCTTTGATGAGTGGAATTTAGGGAGCAAAAGTTACATTGCAAATTGTGTTTTAGACAGCTGCACAGTCAAACATGTCAGGCACTTTCCACAAATAGAGTACAAAATAGGATCTGCAAATCTTTTTTTTCTTCCATTTTAAACAAATAAAAGGAGGTGCTTAAAGGGTTAGTTCACCCAAAAATGAAAATTAGGCTGT